GATAACAACAATATTTGTAGAGTTGATTTGCTTGAGGGTATCTTCTTTATGAAAGAAGTCAAGTATTGCCTGTGTGATTAGACCCCCCACCTTCTTCCATTGGTTTTTAAAGAATCCGCTGCTAAAACCATCTGGCCCCGGGCTTTTATTATTAGGAATCTCAAACAGACTAGTCTTTATCTCATCAGGGGTTATAGGAGCAATCAAGGCCATCTGCTGATCAATTGATAGTGTATTACCCATAGAGATAATGTTCGGGTTAATATCCTCAGTCTCCATTGTCCTCCCTAGTTGATTTTGATAGAACTCTACTAGTACTTTAGCCACTTTGGTTTTCCCCTCCACTACTTCTCCATCCTCTTTAGCAATCGCAGTAAGATGAGTTTGGGCTCTCCTTTTCTTCACCCAAGCATGGAAAAGCTTAGTATCTTGATCCCCATATGTGATCCAGTCTGCCTTTGATTGTTGACATTTCATGAGGAAGTTAGCTCTGAGTTTTTGGTGTAGCTCCTGAGTCAACTCTTTTTCAAATTTTGCCAAATTTGTGTTAGAACTGTTTGCCCTCTGATCTGCCTGAACAATGTGCAGTTTAGTTCTAATTTGACCAATTTGGGAATCCAAATTTTGGAACTTACTTTTGTTCAGCTTCTTCAGGGGGCCTTTGAGCTGCTTTAATTTTTGAATAACTTGGTACATAGGATAACCTTTGTGTTCCTGGTCCCAAACATCAGCCACTAGAAGAGGGAATTGGGGATCTAGGGTCCACATGTCACAAAATCTGAAGTGATGTCCAGCTTTAAATTGTTCCAGTTTCTGTATTATCATGGGAGAATGATCTGAGATTCCCCTTTCTTTAAAAAACACCTTGTGATCAAAATTGCACATCCAGTTAATATTCCCCAAGACTCTGTCCAGTTTGGAGTAGATGAGCTTATCATAATCTTGGTTATTTGTCCATGTGAATCTAGGTCCTTCAAATGGTAGATCTTCTAATCCACACAAATTTAGACAGTCTTGGAACGGTCTCACTTCCTCCCAACTAACAGGATTGCCACCAATTTTCTCATCCTGTTTCAAAACTGTATTAAAATCCCCTAAAACACACCAAGGGGCAGAGGTAGCTAGCCTTTGTAAGCTCTCCCATAATTCCCTCCTTTTGTTGGATTCATTATGGGCATAGACAAAGGTTAGGTGTCCCATTTTATTAACTCCAAACTCTCTGACTTGGCAGTGTACAATCTGATCTGTAAGCTCCAAGATCTTAACATCAAGCTTTGTTTGGTCCCAAATAACCCAGACCCTACCCAGTGGATGGGCTTGATTATTGATGAAAGACCCCCATCCTCCACAAACTCTGTTCTCCATATCTTTAAATTTGCTATCGTTTATTTTAGTCTCCAAAATTCCAAAAATAGCTAACTTATACTTATTTATTATATTTCTAACTTCAGCTTGTTTATTAGGGCTGTTAAGCCCTCTAATATTCCAACAACCAATCATAATAAGAAAGGATAGTGTCCCTTAAATGGGACAGTCATCAGATCCTTATGTATATTCCCCACATAATTACCTTCTGTACCTTCCAAAGACCTCCTCCTCGCAGCTTTTTTCTTTGAAATCTCAAGGAATCCTGAGTCATCAGAGTTCTCTGGATTCTTTGCCTCTACATTTTCCTTATCCCTCTTATTATCTTCCTTTTCTGTTTCAGTTCTCTGGGGTATGGAGGGTGGTGCTGCTTCATCCTTGCCCCCCTGTGGTGTGGTTTTAGGTCTCCAAATTTTCTTTCCTCCTGTACCCTTTGTGTTTTCAGTATTTCTCTTTCTACACATCTCGAACACATGACCAATTCTATTACAGTGTGAGCAAACAGTGGGAGCCCATTCATACTTTATCTTCTGGGTTATTATTCTGCCCTCTTCATTCAGGAAATTAATTTGATCAGGAAATGTTTGGTTAATCTGGACTTCAACTTGAATACGGGCATAGGACCATTTGACTCTTGAAGCTGTTGCCCTATCCCTCCTGATTGGTTGTCCAATAGCGCTGCCCAATTTGCTTAATGCCGAGAGACTCCAATATTTCATCTCCAAATCAGGGAACTGAATCCATATGGGTATGTCCTTTCTTTCCAGCAGGTTCACTTTACATCCTGGATACCACTTTTGAACAAATACTGGTTTGTTGTCCATAAAGTAGTACTTCTTCTTTATGATCTCATCCCTGTCCTCAACTTTATGGAATCTAACAATAAATTGTCCCTCCCTTAAGAATGAAATGTCATCAATTTCATATGCTTTCCAGATTCTAGATAAAAATCCTTTAACTATTTCCAGTGGGGGGTTTGCTCCTAAGATACAACACACCAGTGCAGATTCCCAGTACATACCCGGTTCAATCACATCCTCTGTTGTTAGTTTGATTATACGCTGGCCTTCATTTTCTTCAATCGGGATAAACTTCAGGGCAAAATTCAGGTCATCCTGCATACCAACAACATCAGCGTAGCTTTTTTTTCCTTCAGACTTATCCTCAGCCTCTTCCTCTGTCGCGATCAACTCCTCGATCTCCAGATCTGGTTGTGGTTGGATAGGTGTAGCACATCCAGTAGGTGATTTCTTGTTCGAAACCTCAGGGTCTTCCTTTTCTGTTGCCTTCTCTTCAATCGACGGTGTAGCAATCGCAAACCACTTATTCTTTAACATTTTGTGGTATTAAACCGCCAAACCGTCTCACCCACTAAAAACATTTACAGTGATTCCAATTTTACCCCTTAGTCCTCACACCCAACTAATAAACTTATAAACACAAGCAATCGATCTACACTTTTCAATGGCTAAAGAGTCCTTCAAATTGATCTTGAGGCAGAATACGAATTGCTAAGAAACTCGATTTAGGTTTTGTAAAAAAACTTGGCCTAGACACACTGATTCTGATGGGATAAGAAAGTGAAAAAAGAAACAACAACAACAACCCAGTTGAATCCCACAACAGTAGGGTCTGGGGAGGGTGTGTGTACGCAGACCTTGCCCCTACTCGGAAATAGGGAGGCTGTTTCCAAGAGACCCCCGGCTCCACCTGCACAAAAATATAGAAGGGAACACAGTATAGCACAGGTATATGAAGACCCGGGGGTGAAGTTGGATTCGCAACAATTGTTTCAAGTGGGTGAGACGGTTGGTGGTTCAATCAAACCAAATGACAAAAAAGGCAGTTCTTTCAAAGTTTTTTGGGGTGTAATATCAAAAGCGAGGCATTTATTAGTTGGATTTTACAAATTTTTCCTTAAACTTACCTACTAAGTGACAATCCCAAGGCCTTATACTCTTAACAGCATAGTGCCTACTACGTATGATTTGTTTGGGCTATTTTCCCAACAATAGAAAACTGTTGTTGAATGACTTGGTATTATAAATGCTTTTTTCATCTTTCACTTATACACACACACACATACATATACACACACATATAGACACACACAGATATGTATATATATATATATATATATATATATATATATATATATATATATTAAATAGACTTATTTCATTAAAAAAGAAGAGTACTGTGTGTGTGTAACTGTAATTGTTTTTTCCAGTTTACATTGCTTTTTCTTTCACTTTGAAGCGAAAGAATTCAAGAATAAATGGTCTCAAATCCAAAGCATACATAACTAACTGAAAAGTTATCAATGGACTAATTCATCATCCAGTGTACTTTAAGAAAACTAATTCTCACCCATTATCTTTGGCAGAAACTTTAAAAAAATGCCTGAAAGCAGGCCGAATATCAGGAGGGCTATCAGACTGATGGATTTCCGGTTGCACGTAAGCTGTTTCTGTTATTAGTTCTATAAGACGGCATCCCAGCTGCATGGGATAAGAGAGATATTATTACCAAAGAATAACTTCACAATTGGAGTTGACCTCATTCATCCTTAATTCTGAAATCAGCAGTAACAAGCAAAAGCAAACCTTAGCCTTTGCATCTTGGCTCCACGGCTCCAATGCTTCATCTTTCAACATTTTTTTCAACTCAGCTAGTCTGTTCTTTTTTATCAACCATTTCATCCGCTTTCTTAATATCACTGAATCCTTGTTTAGATCCTCTTGATTTGGTGATTCAGTTGGTTTTCTCTCAAATTGCATCACTTTCTCCATGTAACTATGAATTCTAACCTGAAATATGTCAGTTAATTCAAATGCATAAAAATGTCTCTTTCGATTGTTACTACTCCCTCTGTTTCATAAAACGATTCTTATTTTGACTTTTAGGAGAAATAAGGAGTGTATATTTGTGGTTGACTTTCCAATTTTGCCCTTGATGTAATGGGTAAAAGTAAGATGTGATGTATAGATTATTAGTGGGTAAAAGTAGATTATTAGGGGTAAAAGTGGTCTTTTAATAGAAAGTGGAAGTGTTTTATGGAAAACAAAAAAAATGAAAGAGGAAGTGTTTTAAGAAACAAAGGGAGTACATGAATTCAGGCAACTCACAAGTATTTCTTGATCGATAGTCAGCTTATGCATAGCAAGTTTGCAAGAATATAATTCATTTGAAATTTCATGCACCCGTAACTCAGTTCAACATGATTAGATGATTCAATAGAACCAAGACAATGCTAATGTAAATTAAGAAGCATACAAGGAACTTGGAACTACTGCTGCGAGCTAATCAGCCATTCAGCCTCTGTTTCAAATGTCAACTATCGAGCAAATAGAAATCGATATAAACAGGGTAACAGGTGACCGAAAGCCTAGTTTTGTGAACATTAATCAACTAATAAAGACCAAATTAGGGGTATAAGGGTTTTCCGAGACTCTTTTCTTATCTTTGGCTTGTTTTAGTTTACACCTGCATGCATGCATGCATACATACATTGCTATATAGATATGCTCCCTCTATCCCGAAATAAACTTTGTTTCCTATATACCAACAAGGTATGAATCAAATTTATGTATGCCTAAAAATCACTCATTACTCCTGAATGCGAAATGATACACCAGCCCCTAGTGTTATACCTACCAACTCTGCCAATGACAGCAACAACATCATCAACAAAAACAATAACAACAAAAAACCCAGTAAATCCCCATAAAAAGTAGGGTCTAGACAGGGTGTGTGCACACAAAAACTTACCCGCTTGTCTGCCAATGAGTATCTTTTAATAGGTTTCTCATTTTATAGTCCACTGACATTGTACAGAAAACATTTTTTAACTAAAAAACATATGCAATCAAATCAACAAAAACAAAAACAAAATCAAGTATAATCCCAAATTCTCAATTCTGTTGGGGCCTTGGGGGTCAAGATATGCATAGCCTTACCCCCGTGTCTCTTAGATCCTTGATGCCCCGTTGGGGTCATGGGGGTAAAGATGTAAGCAGCCTTACCCTAGTAAAAAAATAAAGAGGTTGTTTCTGTTGACGTTTGATGCATTGTTTCATTCACTATCCAAAACTTTATAAAGAGTAAAAAGTGAATGAAGTTTAATGTATCCATTATTTATTTGAAGCTAAAACATTGTAAAAAAATGACTATTTTAACTCCACTTGCGATGCGCTCAATAAGCAATCAAATCAAAGTACTTGTTTCTAATAGCACATCTTAGAATAATTAACAAAGTAGCTTCATTATCCTTCAAAAATAACATCACAGATACGAACACTATAAGACTATAAACCAACATCTGAACGTAAGGGTGTCAAAACACAATGCTTACTTCCTGCTCAATCGCACTCCCAATCTGCACTGCAGCTCGGACCACCGGAACACACCTACACTCTTTTCCACCCGCCATCAACATCGCCATCATCTGATGCATCACAATGACTGCTATTTTATCAGCAGGCAAAGAGTCAATGTACGGGGAGAACGCTTTCCTGTGCTTCGTTGTCCTCCGAGTCTTCTGCTCCTTCTCTATGGCATCTCTCAGTGGCTCAAACCAGCAGAGTAAGAGTTTCTTCACTCTAGGGAGATGGGGTGCCAATTTCTTCTCACACATCTCTCTCTCTAGCTCCCTGTACTCCTCAACCATCTTCTCCCAAGCCTGGGTCTCAGCTATCACCTGCCTCTTCCTCAACAATCTGTACTTTTGCCCATCGTTCTCTCGATTCCTGAACTTAGCACTTCGAATCTCGGTGGCTTTACCGAAAAAGTTTTTGAAGAAAATGGAAGAAACCCCATTTGAGTCCTGAACAATAATTCTTCTTGTCTGCTCCTCTCCCGGAATCTTGATCAAACCATTGGGTCCCAAATGTGAACTGTCATCGTGGGTTTGAGCCAATTTTTCCTCTGTAGATACAGAAACCGCGTAGGGACGAAGAGGTTTAGCTCGTTTGAGGGAGTGAATGCTAAGGATTTGTGGGTTTTGCGAAACATTGAATTCAGTCGTACAAGTTGTGGGAGAATTATTACTATTTAATAGGGGAATTCGGGGAATTCTCCATGGATTGGATAACTGAGCTATTGAGTAGGGAGGATAAGTAGTGGAAGCCATGGAAGTGTAGAAAGGACCGAGTGGATAAGAGAGAGGTAGAAAGGAGAAACCCCGCTAAACCCCTCCTCCATTCATGTAGCCATGAAATATTCTCATGATTGGGATAAAATACCTCCAACACGATTATGAGAGAGAATAACAAAAACAAAGATTTTTTTATAGATGTTACAAGTACAAGAGTAAACAAGATTTACTTGATATAAAAATACGTTGGAAATGTAAAAATATTTTTAGTCATCTTTACTACTTACAAATTGGTGATGTTAGAATCTGGTTTATATTTTGTTTGAGAAGATTGTGCATTTTTTCCATCACCACCACCAACTCCACTACCTACGTCGCTTAGACCAATTCCACCGCCTCTGTCACTTCCAATGCCTCTATTGCCTACAATGCAAAGGACACTTACACCGCCTACATTGAGAAGATCTAAACGACTTAAAACACCAAATAAAAAAATATTTTAATGATACGTATGTCACTTATTGAAAGAGAAAACATGTATTGGAATGGTTACTACTTCCATATTGGATGTTTTTGTTTTTTGTACTAAACTCAATGTTAATTATTTCTAAAAATCACTATCACAGATTTCAATGAATGTATAATGATCTAATTATTTTAAGACGTAAATGCTTATTATTGACATCAATGATTGTATTTCAAGATCTATTCTAACAATGACTATTCTAGACATTAATGATTTTAGAATGATCTTATTATTCTATGACGTGAATGCTTGTCTTAACTTAATAACAATTTTTGTATGTTCTTTTGCATTTGTATACAACTATTTAACAATTTTATATTTACATTATAATGACCTACATAGAAAATGCAAGAAGTAGAGCTCCAAAAGAAAAATCCAGATCCTTGCGAATAAAAAAGATAATTAGACTCCATCGCCTCTTAGCAACTTAACAAATGATAAATATTTCTATTTAAATTCTTTACGTTTTTTTGTAAATTAGATTATATGGCGAAACAGTTTTCTTAATTGTTGTTTATTGACAGTGATAGTTTGTACACTCTTTGATCGCTTCTCTTCAGCTTCATCAAGCTCTATTAATGCATCAAGTCATTTATATAACCATGACTACGCTACTCTACCTAAAAGTTGTATTACACAAAAAAATATTTGTAGAAGAAGAAAGCGATCATTTCAACTAGGTATGTTTCACGTTTTCCTGTGAATTTCCTTACTTGATACTTATTTCACTACATTATGCATTAATGAGTATTCATATTCTTTCAAATTTTATACTATCTTGCTATTACAATGCACAGTGGATGAAGAGAGCAATACTTCTTTACCTCTAGCTGCCTTTAAAAATGACTTTGTTACACAATCTTGGGCTGTATATTCTAATCTACGTCGTGGATAAGAGAGATGTAGAAAGGAGAAACCTCGCTAAACCCCACCTCCATTCATGTAGTCATGAAAGATTCTTATGATTGGGATAAAATACCGCCAACACGATTATGACGAGAGAATTACAAAAATAAGGATGTTTAGTAGAGGGGATTATTTGAATGAGATTAAAATTTTATAAAATTTATTTGGATGAAATTGAATTCTCTAATTGTAATTTATTTGTGTTACCAACCCACAGAATTATAATTATTGTCCTCAATTCTAATTTCATAACTTGAATTTCGTGTATTAAACAGAGCCTAGGAATAGTTTTGGCGGAGGATAACCCCATGTCAGCCTAGTATCGGGCCTAGAGCTGGGCCCACGTCCATGTAAGCTGGGAGAGGACCCCATAGAGGGATAGGCTCGGTCTAAAGATTGTGTAGTCTACATCCGGTACTGGTTGTGTCAGTACAGGCGCTTCTATCAGACATTTCTTGTGTTTTTCAAAGCTCTGCTAGCATACGTCGGTCCACGTGAATTTTACGTCCTTCCTTCTTCCTTAGAAGTTTGTTTAGTGGAGTTGCGATCGAGGAAAAGCATTCAACGAAACATCAATAGTATCCAGCTAATCCTAGAAAACTTCTCACTTCACAAACATTCCTCGAAACTTTCCATTCGGTAATGGAAAATATTTTGTTGGGGTCCACTTTCACACCTTCTTTCGAAATCACATGACCCAGAAATATGACTTCGTCGAGCTAGAATTCACACTTGGACAACTTTGCATAAAGTTTGTGTTCTCGCAGTACACGGAGTAATATCTCCAGATGTTTTGCATGATCTTCTCAATTCTTCGAGTATACCAGAATATCATCGATGAATACAACTACAAATTGATCCAGATAGGGTCGGAATACACTATTTATGAAATCCATGAATACTGCAGGAGCATTGGTCAAACCAAAGTGTAACGCCCTGAAACCCGGCTTGGTATTTTTACTTAATTTATATACTTAATTAATTACTGAGTTGGTCAAAACGAAGATTATTTTCTAATTTGCAAATTTAATATAAGAGTTGACCTGCGTTGTAGGGCTCGCTGTAATTGGGCTTAAATATGTTCTAACTGGCTAGAAAGTGTAAAGTGGACCCTAAAAACCTGTTTAAATTTATATTAAAAGAAAGGGGGCTAGTAGAGGTGGCAATCGGATCAACCAGATCGGTTCCGGATTGAACTTTTTCGGTTCGGATATCTTTCGGTTATATGTTATAATCGGTTTGGTTCGGTTCGAATCGGTTAAATTTCGGTTCGGATTTGATTTCGGTTCTATACATTTTTCGGTTCGGTTTCGAGTCGGTTCAGATACGGTTCGGTTATGAATCGGTTCGGATAGATTTTGATTCGGATACAATTTGAGTCGGATATATTTCGGTTTCGGGTCTAGTCCGGTTCGGATATATTTCAGTTTTGGATATATTCGATCGAGTGGACTACAAATTATGAAAAAATATATTTTATGATGATATAAATTTAATATCATAATATTAATTTTAAAATTTAGTTTTGATATATTAAAATTTTATCACTTCAAATAATATTATGAGTAAATTACCTAAATAGGGCTAAAACACAATGACTTTCCCAATATAGGACCATATGTTTTTATTTCTCAATGTAGGACTTTTGGTCATTATTAATTAGTCATTATTCAAGTAAATGTCCATTATTAATTTATTAGTGGGCATTATTCCTCCCACTAAGACATTATTAAGTTCTCTCTAAGAAATAAAAAAGTTTAAGTCCTAGATTAAGAAAGTAATTATGTTTTAGTATTATTTAGTACAAATTTATTAATATCATTAGTTTTATCTTTATAAATAAAAAGATAAAAGATAAATTGAAATCGTATTAGGATTGTGTTACCACTTTTTGGGGAAGATGAGTCGAAGCAACTAGTTTTTATCTCGTGCTTTGCACTGACTCGCATACTTTTTTTATAAGTATAACTATTTAAAAATGGTACTCCGTATTATATTAAAAAATAAAACTCACATTAAATAAATAAGAGAATAACTCTTTAAGTAATCCAATTAGAATGTCTATTATTGATGGAATACATAAATATTATACATGTATGTGCATATGAAAGATAATACATTAACTCTTCTTAAATAACTTTGTTAGACATTTCATTTTTTGTAGATATCGTGGTATGCGAGGGTATGATGTATTTATTAATTTCTTCTATGAATCTTATTATTCTACACTTTATTTGACTAATTATATTTATAATTTTGATAGAAAATATATTTTTAGTTTTTAAGGAAAAGTTTTACTTTTTTGTTTTATTTTACCATCTTTGATAATTAAAATNATTTATTATAATTTTTTAATTATAAAATTACATGCATTATAAGTTTTTTTTAGAAATTTGGATATGATAACTTATTGTAGCAAGACTAAAACATGTAATCCATTTTATGAGTGAATGAGCAAGTAATATAATTAGTTCAAATGGTAAAATAAAAGTAAAATTTTAAAAGCATAATATGATTATTGAAAGGAAAACATACTTCCAAAATTATCTATGTAGGTTCTAATCGGTTTCGGATCTAATCGGTTTCGGGTTTTATCGGTTTCGGGCATTATCGGTTTCGGATCTAATCGGTTTCGGGTTTTATCGGTTTCGGGTATTATCGGTTTCGGATCTAATCGGTTTCGGGTTTAATCGGTTCGGATATTATCGGTTTCGGATCTAATCGGTTTCGGATTTAAATCAGATATGAATTATTTAGTTCGGTTTCGGATATTTAGGTTCGGGTAATCTGTTTTGCCACTGGTTAGTCGGGTTACGATAGACGCTACTTCCTCCTTCTTCGTCCGTTTCTTTCGTCGTTCCCCTGCCCTGCGATTCGTCGTTCCTGCACGTCGCCGTCAACCAGCAGCCGCACGTCGCCCGGAGCACCGCCGAGCTCCGTCTCCGACAGCCGCCCTCCCCTCTTCCCCGGTCGCGCAGCAGGCGTCGCCGAACAAGGGCAGCGGCGACTCCTCTCCCTTCACACCCGATTCCAATTATTCAATTCGAGGTGATTCGTTGTCCAAATATCTTCTGTTAGCGTTAATTCATCGATTACGGTCTTGTTTGTATTAGTCTTGCGATTGATTGTGAATTTGGGTGAATTGATTGTTGGAATGGCTGATTGGAATGTTGAATGGTTTGAGTTTGGAATTGGGGGGACTGTGGGGCTGTTTTTCGGCGTCTCTCCGGCGGTTTGCCGGCGGTGGCTGCGGCTGACGTACGGGTAGTTTCCGGCGGTCCAATTTGGACCCAATTGGGTCAATTGGGTCCAATTGGATTAATTCTTGTGCAATTGAGTTTTAATCGGTTCTGTCCAGGGTGTAATTGCGGCTGTACGGGTTACCATTGGTTGTGTTCGGACTCTAATTGGGTCGATTCGAGTTGTTTGGTCATTGGGCCGGTTGGGCCAGTTTTGGGTTGGCTGCCCGAGGGGGCAGTGAGGCTTCCGGGCGGTGGGCAGCTGCCTGGGGGGCTTGGTTTGTTGATTTCTGGGCTGCCGGGTCAGTTCGGCAGGTTGTCGGGTTGATCCAATGGTAATTGATACTGTTCCGGCGGGTGCAGCGGGCCTGAGGATGTAGTCCTTGGTCCCGAGTTCGCGACACAGGTAAAGTTATCTAAATACTGTTGGGCTTGATCTTGTTGTTTGAGCATGACGGTAATCGGTGGGAAGTGATTCCTCCGATAGGCCGCTAATTGTGTTGTTATTGTTTATGGAAATGTTTAAGTGGTTGTTATCACTTGTGAACTCTGTTGAAAATTGGCCACATAGTATACCTAGGCGGATCTAAACTGAATTGGATAGTTTAATCACCAATAGAACTGTTGTTAGGTTCGGGCCCTGTGGAGCATGTTTGCATATCCAGTGGTCCAGGGTTCAAAACGTACGTACTGGAGTCACTGTTCTACCTAAGGGATTCTTCAGTAGAGACTCTAACCCGCCCATTGAGGATTCTCTTTGGGTTTGTCTGAGCATCGGCCTCGAGGGATCCGCTTGAGTGTCTGTAACTCTAGTATGTTAAATTTGGCCTTAATGTTGTAGGGACAGAAATAGCCCTTTGGGAATAAATGAATTGGAACTGTTGGATCCTTGTACTTGGAAATAAATGTTGATTGTTCACTGAAGTTGCTGATTATATAAATGGGATACTATGTGTGAAATTAATTCTAGAGTTAGATATTTTTCTCACTCAGCTTTCAGCTAAACGTGTAGTCTTGTTGTCTTTGACTGCACGCAGGTAGGGATATAAGGTCAGCCCAGAGGACGTTGATACGTGATGCAGTGGATGATATCACTATTTTTAATTATGGACATTTAATTACTTCATTATTAAATATTTGAATTAAACATTGCTTGTAGAATGTTATTTTAATACTTCCGCACATGATAGACTTTACGTCGGACTCTTCGTATTTAATTTGGTGTTTGAATGTTTTTGAATAAACTGTCTAAATTGTTGTGCTGTGATTACCAATTTAATAGCAACCCGATTTGTTAACTCATTGGTTCGGGTTACACAAAGGGCATTACCGTGAACTCATAATGACCATAACGAGTACAGAACGCAGTCTTTGGGATGTCTTCTTTCTTGATAGGGATTTAATGGTATCTTGTCCGTAAGTCAATTTTAGAGAACATAATGGATCATTTAAGCTGATCAAATAAGTCATCGATACGAGGCAAAGAATAACGATTCTTGATTTTGACTTTGTTCAATTGATTGTAATCGATGCAGAGTCTCATCGAGCCGTCCTTCTTTCTTATAAACATAACGGGTGCTCCCCATGGACAAACATCGGTCGAATGAATCCTTTATCTAGCAATTCTTGTAATTGAGCCTTCAACTCTTTTCAGCAGGAGCCATATGATAGGGAGTTGCAGATATCGTCCTGTTCCAAGAACAAGATCGATGGAAAATTCTACTTCACTGGAAGATGGTATTCCAGGAAGTTCATCATGGAATACGTCAACAAAGTTACATACTGTAGGTATATCCTTCAACTCAGGAGTTTCTTTTTGCGTGTCACGTACATTACACAGATAGGATTCAAATTTCTAATAGATGAGGCGCTTAGCGTGTATATATGAGATGAATTCAGTGGGTATGTAACACCTCAACTTGTATAACCCGATTACCTGGGTTATTTGAGCTGGAGTAGTTACCAAGATGGTAATTACGGATGATAACTTGATGAATAATTTAGAACTAATTAAACTTTAATATAAGCAATAAGTTCAAATATATATTTCAGAGTAATGTCTGAAACAATGTGGAAGCTTAATTAATAAGACATAATCAATCCATATTACATTTTCTGAAAACTCGCCCAAAAAGGTATTTATTTAAGTAATGCATAGTAGTAGTCCGTACATCTCCTCACTCTCGTTGACCTCTGGAATGGGCTCCATGATCAGTGTTGCTACCTGCGTGTAGCAAGTAAAACAAACTACATGCTCAGCATAAGCTAATGAATATGCTAATACAACAATTTCAAGTTGAATAGCAAGTAGACATATAATTATTCATGATATGGCATACTATAACATATATGCTCAAGATGATGATGATGATAAATACTTGATGTCACACATAATCATTATGATTGTTCTTGATGATGTTTTCATGCCGCATAAAACTAACGTGCAAGGACGACCCTTGCGCCATGAGAATTGCCCATTTGATACGACGAACTCACGCCACCTTAATCCCACGGATGAGACTAGAGTAAGATGAGAGTGGTACTCGAAAGCTTGAATATCATGTACGTACACTGAGCCCGAACGTGTGATGTCGGACTGCTAAGTCCCGCACAATCATGTTATAAGAGACGCACGACGCATGATCTCTGATGCATGCATATGATGTGATATGCTTCAATATGAATGATAAAATGAATCATATGATATGAACAATTTGCAAACAATATTATGAATATGTAATCATGCATTAGTTTATTTGGATGAAACATGATTAAAATATCATTTAATTAAACTACGGGGCTCGGAACGGTCGACCATTTGACACGACGATCGACCGTGACTCAATTCATCTCGTCACTTCCGGATCACCGTGACGGTCGACTGTGCCTAACCAGCGGTCGACCGTTGTTGACTGCCTGGAAGTGGCGGCGCTCAGCTGGGCTGGCGACGGTCGACCATTTGACTACGAAGGTCGACCGTTCTGTTGACAGTAGTAGTCCATTTCGAAGTTTAATACGACGGTCGACCGTTTGCGTCAACCGTTCGAGTCTGCGAATCTTACTCTTGATATTTTGAGTGTCTAAAATACTTCTTTAATTTATTTTAACACCTATGATTAACATATCTATGTATTTGAAGGATTTCTAACCATGTATGGAAAAAGTGTAAGCTTTGACAAAATGAAGGTATGTTTTGGAGTATTATAAGGAAGATTGGAATTATTGTGGTAGTGGACTTCATAGGTAATTCCTAGAGTGGCTAAAAGGAGATATTACATGATTGAAGAAGTTTGGGGATTTTAAAATATTTTCCTACTCCGTAACTGATAAACTGACTAAAACAGTACACACTTTTTTGCCCAAACTATTCCGAATTGAAAACGGATCGCATTTTTGGAATCAGACTGTCAAAAATAAAATTCTGATATAATTAAAATATATTTCTAAAAACTTTTATTTTTCAGTGTTCGGGTATGACTCAGTCATTAATTAATATTTTAATTAATTATTTATTTTAGGCCTAATTTCTGGGCGTTATATTCCCCCCACTACTACAGAATAACTATTTAACAGCGTACTTTACACAACGGATAAATTAGAACCGGTGTCTAATCTCTGGGGTAAAATGCGGGCATAAAAATTTTTGGAACCGCGCCCTAAAAATTTTAGTAACACACAACTTACACCGGATAAGAAAATACCCGCTGCCTTTTTTCTACTCACATCTATCCAACTCTCCTTTTTCTTCCCGATCAGATCAAATCTGCGTTAACACCCAAATCGGCTCCATCTCTAGCAATCGACGCCCCCATCTCTACCTTCATACGCCATCTCTCCTCGCCATCTATGTCAGTCGACACCCGCATCTATACCTTCTGAGACCATCTCTCCTAATAGCTCTCAATAATGGAGGCAGGGGTTTCTCTCTCTAGAACCCGATATGAACAGTACCTCGAGACTGAGATTCTCTCTTCCTCCATCGATTCAAGCTCTGCTCTTGAGATTTTTGGAACCTTTGGATGCACCTTCAGCTGGTGAATCCTTATCTGAGGTTAATCTGCTGATTTTGGCTATGAATTTCTGAAATTTCGAAGGTCAAGGCCGTGTCTGGTACTGTTCACTTGTGATTTTGTCTCTTTGGTTCTCTTCGACCCAGACAATTTTGATGGTTGTTCTTCTGATATTATTAGCGTATTGTAATCCTCTTCCATGGTATGAATTGGATTTTATTATCATTTGAACCCTATATCGATTTGAGGCCTTTTGTGGTTCTTAACTACTGTTCACAACGCAAATATGGAATGCAAATTGTATCAGTTTTTTGGCTTGCTTTGACCAAACTTTTTTGGATTCCTGTTGCTTATTTTGTGACGTTGATGACAATGATTTCAACAACACTTGCGTGAGTTTCACTTCAGATTGTGTATGGGCTGGTTCTGTAATGAATGTTACTACCATGTATCTTCTGTGCTATTTTTTTTGCTATGTTTTAGGTTTCGTGTGTTGTCCAATTGTTTATGCTGGTTCTACCTAGGTTGTTTGTGAATTGGGTGAGGTTTGGAAGCTTCAAGCTATGATGTGGAGGTTGAATTCTAGGGAAGCCTGTTACGGTTCCTACCCTGTGTTCCTGCCATTTTTTGACTTGCTGTTCCTACTGCTGATTTTAGGGATGCTTAGGTTGCTTGGTTTGAATCTCTTGCTTGCTGTTTGAGAATGAACAGCAGCCCAAATGCCCATGGGATGTGATAATTGTTTGGAACTGTTCTAAGTGAGTTGTATGTTTCTCCTTTGGAAACTAATAAGTTCTTTCCCTTTTTCCTTTTTCTTGGCAAAGAATGCAAACATTGCCCTTTAGTTGTGTTGGTGCAGGTTTGCATGTTAAGGAAGCCGAAGGTTGAGGGATGATGTTGTAGGTCTAGGCCTTGATCAATCAGCATGAATGGGTGTTGATGCTGCAGGTATGTCTCACTCTGTAGTAGTGCATGCTTTCACTCACTTCCTCAACGGTCATACTTTTCTTTTCTATTTACCGTTTCAATTCCTTTTGTTTTTGGGTGTAGCACTATGGTTGATCATAAAAGATGCGAATGCAGTGGAAATCAACAAATCCAGCAGTTAGTTGCATAGATAAAAAATGGGGCAAGCAAGAATGAAGAGCAATAATAATTTTTACCCAAAACATTAGTTAACAAACAAGAAGATTGTAACTATCTACTTTGTATTTTTTAAATAAATATGTAGTACATTTATTGAATTTAGTCAATTGGGCTTTGAATTGATGTTATAGCTCAATAAAATGTGGATGCATGTAATTTTGTAGTAGATAGTTTAGAATAGTATAGAATTTTTTTAAATAAAAATTCTTTTAGACAGCGGATATTTATCCGATGTCTAAGGTCTACCTAAAAATATAAAAATAACATTACACAGCGGATAATATCCGCTGTTTAAAGTTAGTACTTTAGACAACGGATAAATATCCGCTGTGTAAAGTCCTGACTTATTGCACCGGTGGTATATACAACGGACCATATCCGCTGTGTAAAGTTGATTTATCCGCTGTATAATGCCTATCTTGTAGTAGTGCTGTAACACCCGCCTTCCGTGGACCCGGTTCACCCGCGACCCAACGGACTGGTAGGGTTACATGGACAGTCCGAAAACTATCCGTTACAAAAACATTAATGATTATTTGATTATTTAATAGGAAAACGGTTGGGTTTTAATTAGAGGAATAAATGCCAGGGAGTTACTCCCAAAACGTGTGTAATAAAAGTGCAGAGTAATTAAATAAGTTCAGTCCAAATTAAATAACGACAAGGGTGGGTTCATGCCCAATTGATTAATGAAGTTATTGAAAGTAATTAAGAGTTCGTCCGTGCGCCGCCCATCTCCCCATCGTCATCGCTCTCCAGGGTTGGCACCTGCTCCGTCATGCCTACCTGCGTGTAGCAAAAACAACTACACGCTCAGCAAAAGCTGAGGAGTGAATCTAATAAAAGAACATGAAGTGATAACCCATATGGCTATACCCATGTCAATACCTGTACTTAACGTACGGGAAACCACACGTTACTAGCTGTTTAGTTTTCACCTGTTAAAGCTATTTCGAATAACAAGGAGCATACATGATGATGATATGACTTGATGCATGACTTAAACTATCAGGGACACCCCTGGCTTAGTCTCACTCGACAGGATCACCCCTGCACTCCGGTCATCGTCCCCGAACGGTAACGAGCCGGGCACGACGAAAACATCGCGAGTGGACTAGCGGAACCGGGTAGTAGCCGTAACCTGACCACTATGTACGTACACAAGCCCAACATGATGAAAACACGTTGGTCCCTAAAGGTTCCTGGACGGGCCCACTGTAGTAGGCGCATGAAGTCCTCCGTACAGCGGTATGCACATGATGAAAACCTAGAACATCCGTCTAGAACGAACATGATGGAATGAATGCATTGATAAAAGAAGAGAGTTAAATTCAATTCATACATATGTGTTTGATTACGATTTGTTCAACATGATGGCCCTGGGTCCAGAACTGGCTGATAATCGATTATCTGCTGTTGATAATCGATTATCATGCTATGCAGCTTCTGTCCCCAAAGTCCTGCAGACTGTGATAATCGATTGTCACCCTATGACAATCGATTGTCAAGTTGGTTTATCTGGAAAGTCCTAAGTTCAGAGAGACCTGATAATCGATTTGTCTGTGTGATAATCGATTATCAGTGAAGCCAACTCAGACCCAAGAATCCGCAGAGCCTGATAGTCGATTATCACATATGGGATAATCGATTGTCACGCTGTGCTGAACCAACTTAGGAGTCCGGCGTGGCCTAATAATCGATTATACTATCCTGTAACTCGATTATCAAGGCACGCTGATCTCCATTTTATTTGTTTGTAGCCATCAAACGTTGGAAGTTTTTTTAAAATCGAATGTTTTCATTTCCACGCTAAGTAGTGGATGATTTTACGAGGCTCCAAAACATTTATGTTAACGAGTACATAACTTAATAACCTGGGCTCACATAAGTTGGATACGAACATGCATAGATTCAACGTAGGTTGCGTACGATATTCCTATGAATATAACGACATAGATTATAACTAAATGTTCTAGAATTAGAGGGACAACTACTCACCTCTAAACGTAGGGGTTGACAGAACGTCGAACGAACGACGCTAACGAACGGATGAACGATCACCAACAACCTTACGCGTTTCTTCTCCTCTACCTTCTTCTCCTCCTTCACGCCGGAAGCCTCCCCCTTGACTGCCTGCTGGCCGGACAGAAAACCCCAAAAGAGGAAGAGAAAGAGAGTGAGGGAGTTATGGGTGTTTGGGAGTTACAACCTCTAAGGGAATGTGTGGAAAATGGAGAGGGGAGGTGTTTAAATTGAAGGGGAGTAATTGGGAGAGTAAATGATAATGATGGTGATGAGTTGTGGCGTGTGAATTTGTGCTAGGAGTTACATCCCTTAATTTTGTTCCGTTGTGTAAAATCTTACCTGAACGGTACGCGCTTTTTCCCCGAACGGGTCCGAATTGAGATCCGTTTGCATTTCTAGAATCAGACAGTCAAAACGAATTTAATGATATGATCAAATAATTTTTCTAAGAACTTTTTAATTTCCCCAATTCCAGCCCGGAACAGTAATTAATTAATTAAATTAATCAATTCTATTAGATCGGGTTGCAGGGCATTACAAGTTCCCCTAAAAATAGTTTCGTCCTCAAAATTACCTGATCACTAATCGCTGAAAAGTTGTAGACATTGAGATCGCATGGACTCCTTAGTTTCCCAGGTTGATTCTTCGACAGAGTGACTTCTCCAAAGCACCTTAACTAAGGGTACAATTTTGTTCCTCAGTACTCGAACTTCTCGTGCAAGTATCTCTACAGGTTCCTCCTCATAGGAAAGTTTCTCATCCAAAGCGGCTGTCTCTGTTAGAATAATATGGGAGGGATTTGATCTGTATCTTCTCAACATTAATACATGAAAAACATCGTGAATTTTGTTCAACTCTGGTGGCAATTCCAACTTGTAGGCTACAGGTTCCACACGTTTTGTGACTTTGTATGGGCCTATAAACCTCGGAATCAGTTTCCCCTTTTTGCCAAAGCGTAGAACTTTCTTCCAGGGAGAAACTTTCAAGAATACCATGTCGCCAACAGCATATTCAATGTCGTGTCGCTTGAGGTCTGCAGATGATTTATGTCGGTGTGCTGCTATGTGAAGTTGTTCTTTCATCAACTGAACTTTTTCCTTTGTATCTCGCATTAGTTCTGGTCTTTATGGACCTTCGAGTTTTCTCTCACTCAGTTCAGTCCAACAAACTGGTGTTCGACATTTTCTTTCGTATAGTGCCTCATACGGAGCCATTTCAATACTTGCCTGATAACTATTGTTATAGGCAAATTCCATCAGAGGTAGATATTTTTCCCAATTGTTTCCAAAATCAATGATGCATGCTCGCATCATGTCCTCAAGCATTTGAATACCTCTCTCAGACTATCCGTCAGTCTAAGGATGGAACGTTGTGCTGAAATGCAATTTGAAACCAAGAGCCTTCTGTAAGCTCTTCCAAAATTGGGAAGTAAATCGAGGATCACGATCCGAAATGATGGATTACGGTATTCTATGTAGTCTGACAACCCCGCGAATAAACAACTCAGCCAGACGTTGTAGTGTAAAATTGTTAAGTCACAAAAAGTCCTATTTTATTCCTTCATTTCTTAGGACTTTTAAGACGTTTTATAGGCAGTTTATTCCTAAATAATCATATTTTGTTCTATTTAGCATTTTAGGCCACTGGTTACATTTTATACATAAAATGCATGATTTTGAGCATTTCTATTATTTGATAATTATTTTGGAAGTATTATTTTTCTTGACATAATTCTTTAGATTTTAAAACATCAAAAATTGAAGGAAATAAAGAGTTAGACCTTTGGAGATTGGAGTCAAATTAAAGAAAGGAAGAAGTGATTGGGCCAAAATCAAAGACGGAGCAGTGAAATCCATTCATGTTGACCAAAGCATTCATTATATGTATGAAATATCAAAACAAAATAAAAGAAAGAAAAGAAAAAGAAGGAAACGTGAAGGAGCAAACATGGCCAAAGAAATGGATCGCACAAAAACTTCTTCAGTAATTCAATGACTTCAATTTCAGTTATAAAAGGATGGAGACGGATAGGAAACAGGGAGAGAGGGAGATCGTGAATAGAGAAGTGCCGGCCTAGGGTTTCGACCCTAGGTCGGCGATGACAACTCCGACAGTCCGACGACAACCATTCTGGCCGCAGCCATGGATTCCGATGACGGCGATGACGGGCGGCTCAAGGTCGGCATCTGGTCCCGGCTTTGTGCATCGTGCGAAGAAGACACTTCCAGGGAACATTTCTTTTACTTTCAACTTTTATTTTCTCTGAACTAGGATTTTGAATTTGTTTAATTTCAAAATTGATGAATTTGATATCCAATATTAAGTATGTTATTTTCAAATCTTGTTTTGGTATTGAATGTTTAAGTTATATTATAAGAGTTGATTTGGTTGTGTGTTGATGTTGAATTGTTCAAATATGATTTATTGATTTATTATTGTCTCTGAAATTATAAAACCTTCTTAGGCCGGATTGTTTGACAACAAGATTGAATCTTTGTTTGTTGAATTAATTTGACTTTGAAGAGATTTTAGCTCTATGCTACTGTTAAATCTAAACTCGAAAAGGTGTTCTGAGAACTATTATTCACCAGATTTTACTTAAATTGGACCAAATTAGGAACGCGCGCCTAATCCAGTTTAAAATGGTATTCTTTTAAAGTCCAACGTGCTTTAAATAGCCGAACTTTTCTAGAAACCAAGTGTCACTTGATTAGTACTTGCTGCCTCGCTAAGTAGTTTTTGCTAATCAAGGTTCTCGAACTGATTTTGTTAAATAACCGTAGTGTTACTGCAAGATTGTTATGGTGATGTTTTCCAAAGATGTTATTGCGCTAATCTTTGTAGTAACTTAAGGGTTGGTCTTTGGGTTGCTAAGGGTAGTAGGGTTTAGAGTTAGGGTTGGTCTTAACATGAGCTAATATGAACGGGAGAATAGGGAAGAACCGTTGGTGGACCTCTTCTTCAGCCTAACCCTGAGTTTAATTAGCAGTTTAATTTCAGAATCAAGGCATAATTAATTAGTTAATCAGATTTGTTCAGTTTATTTTGTATTAAAAACAATAAGTATTTCCAAAATAGTTTAAGTTAATTATTATTGTCTACGTTTTATAAAGTTTATTGTGAGATTGTGTTCGTGTGTTTGTTTTCTCCCATAGTGTTACTTCTGAGTTCGAGCTTGCTGTTGTGGTTCCATCTCTTATTTGTTATCCTTTATCTTTATTTTATTTGTCTGTTTTTATCTTTTTAGAATTATAATCCAAATTCCCCCATATCTTTAGTTTTAGTTTTTAGATTTTAGTTAGTTTTTATTCAATAAAAGTGACAAAGTAAACTGATTTTCATAGCCTAAAAAGTATCTTTCCTCGTGGGATCGACCCTTACTTGCCCTATCTATATGTTTTAATCAATATTAATTCATAAAGAGGGATTCGAGTTAAGGAAAATAATAAATTAATTTGTAGGTGCTACGACACGCCTAACAAAAATCTCGCCGAATTGGTAAGAAATGCGCCGATTTTGTCAAACAATCAACAATAACCCATATTGCATCGTTCTTCTTTGCGGACAATGGTAACCCGACTACGAAATCCATTGTAATGCGATCCCATTTCTATTCAGGAATGGTGATTTGCTGCAAAAGTCTTGTAGGTACCTGATGTTCGGCTTTGACTTGCTAACAAGTCATACACCTCGATGTGAATTCAGTAATTTCCCTTTTCATGGCTGACCACCAATAACGTTTCTTCAGGTCTTGAAACATTTAGTTATTACCAGGATGCATAGTATACACGGTTCCGTGAGCTTCACGCAATAAGCGATCCCTCACATCACCTGATGGTACTACCAAACGATCTCGATAGTATAATGTACCATCATCTCGAACAGAGAAGTCTTGTTTCTCTCCCTTGGAAACAAGCTCACATGTCTCAAGACAAAAGGTATCCTGATGCTGTACTGAAATGACCTCTTGATCCAAAGTGGGTTGTATGCGGAGTTCAACAAGAGTCTTGCGACTAAGAGCATCAGCTACCACATTCGCTTTACCAGGATGATAAGCGATGTGACAGTCATAGTCCTTAACCAACTCCAACCACCTTCTCTGTCGAAGGTTTAACTCCTTCTGGCTCATCAAATACTGTAAACTCTTATGATCAGTGAATATGCGAGTCGTCTCGCCGTATAAGTAATGTCTCCAAATTTTTAATGCAAGAACACTAGCTTATAACTCCAAATCATGAGTTGGATAATTGTATTCATGACGTTTCAGTTGCCGTGATGCATAAGCTATGACCTTGCCTTCCTTCATCAGTACACCCAAGTCCCTGGTGTGATGCGTCACTGAAAACTGTGTATTCAATACTAGGTGTCAGTTGAATTAACAGAGGTGCTTGAGTCAAACATTCTCTCGAAGCTTTTCTGGCAAGCTTTTGTCCAAGAAAACTTGACGTCCTTTTTCATTAATTTATAGAATGGTGAAGCGATTCGAGAGAAATCCTTCACAAAACGACGATAATAACCAGTGAGTCCAAGAAAACTCTGCACCTCATGTGTATTGCGTGGAGTTTTCCATTCTGTGATTGTTGAATTTTTGCATGGGTCGACCTTGACTCCTTCAGCAGAGATCACATGACCGAGAAAAGTGACCTCATTCAGCCAAAATCCACATTTAGATAACTTTGCATAAAGCTTACGCTCTCTCAGAATGTTTAATACGATGCGTAAATGCTCAACATGATCCTCTGGTGTTTTTGAGTACACCAAGATATCGTCGATGAAGACTACAATAAATTGATCCAGATACTGTCTAAAGACACTATTCATGAGATCCATGAATACAGCTAGTGCGTTCGTTAAGCCAAAGGGCATAACAATAAATTCATAATGCCCGTAACGTGTACGGAATGCTGTCTTTGGAATGTCTTCTGGTTTCACAAGAATCTGATGGAAACCTGATCTGAGATCGATCTTTGAGAATATTGATGCACCTCGTAATTGATCAAACATATCATCAATACAGGGTAATCGATAACGATTCTTGATTGTAACTTTGTTCAACTGACGATAGTCGATGCATAATCTCATCAATCCATCTTTCTTTCGGATGAAAAGAACAGGTGCTCCCCATGGGGAAACACTAGGACAGATGAAGCCTTTATCTAACAACTCCTACAGTTGAGCTTTCAATTCCTTCATTTCTGCAGGGGCCATTCGATAAGGTGATGCTGAGGTGGGTCATGTACCAGGTACAAGATCAATAGAAAATTCTACTTCCCTTAGAGGAGGTAGACCAGAAAGTTTTTCAGGAAATAGATCAGGAAAATAAAAGACCATAGATATGTCCTTATGGTTAGGTGTTTCCTTTAGCATATCCTTAACAGTGCACAAGAATGCTTCACATTTCCTGTGAATGAGCCATTTTGCTTACATATAAGAGATGAATTCCAGGGGCTTTCGGCAATAATTCTCCCCGAATGATCACCTCGTTACTGTCATCTGCACGAAGTTTCACCACCCGTTCTTTGCACTCAACAATAGCCTGGTGATTTGTCAACCAGTCTATGCCAAGTATAACTGATAAGTCGCGTTTTGGGTTAGTTCTTTTTATTTTTTTAGGCATTTTTAATATCTATTATATATATAAAAGCATAGTCAAATTGAGTGCGAATTCCATCCAATTTTCGCTGCAATCGGACGGCCCAATTTCATTTGCAATTGACAAATTTGACGGTCGTTTACGTCCAAAATCCATGTCGATTGAAGGGGTGGTTTCGATTAGAGATGAGCAAAAGGACCGATGGGGTCAGGCTAGACCGGTCTTTGGAAAAACTGCTACAGTAAAAGACTGGACCGGACTAGTCTTTTTAAAAACCCGGTCCTAACTAGTCCGGTCTTCTTATCAAAATCAAAGACCAAATATGACCACTAGTCCAATCTTGTCCGGTCGGTAGTCCAATCCGGTCCGGTCTCTAGTCCCAACATATTGGGTCAAGATAGTAGTTTTGCGATGTTGTGTCAGGGTTACCAAATAGTCCATCAACTCTTTTTGCATCGGTCGAGATTGCATGTTGCACTTCGCTCGCTCAATCGCTGATTCTCTGAGGACATCTCTGGGGACTAGCTCTACTGCTCTAAGACAGAGTTTTGTGACGCTTGAGTTTATCTTGAAACTCTAAGAAAATACTTAGGGGATAGGGGAAGCCGAGAAGTATTAATCATTTCTAATTTGTAATACTCTATATTATTTTTTAACATTTTTATACGTACTACTCCATATATACTACTACCTATATACTCCGTAATTTACAAGTAGTATATTTAGACTCTAGAGGACTAGGTTTTTGGACTAGTCCTAGTCTTTATACTAATCTTTTACTAGTCTCGGACCAGTTCAAGTCTTTAACATGTCTTTTACTAGTCTTAGATTAGTTCTAGTCCTCTATAAATATTAAGGAACATTTGAGACTACTCTTGGACTAAACAGTCTCAAAGACTCCAAATCCTTTAGTAGGTCTCTGTCAATCTTTATTGTTCTTCTCTAGTTGAGAAATCTTCATCCTCTACCGATCCGATCTGCGTCAACCCACCATCCGGCCTCCACTTCTCTTTTCCATCCTCAAATCTCCATCCTCAAATCCCCCTGCTACCGGCGACGAGATCCCGGCGGCTGAGACCTAATCCGGAAATGCACAATGAGGTTCATAGGGATTTAATATTTATATATAATATCAATTAGTCTGATAATTTGAGATCGACTTGTGTTATCCTTTGGGTTTTGAACTCCATATAACATCAGATCTTATTAAACTCATCTCTCTATCTCAAATTCTTGTGTTTGTTTTATGCAGCATTTGTCTTTACATATTTGTCTCTCTATGCAGATGAGCACATTTGAAGGTTAAATTCTTCATACTCCGTATATTGTTTCATATGTGCCATATCATCCCCAATCATAACCATTGAAATTGCATAGTTGCATTTGCAATTTCCAGATTTCACTGACATTGCACATTTTTTTGGTAAGAAAAAATGAAAGCAAACAATTTTCTATTCTTTTTCAGCCTAATTTCTTGAACCAAACATTGTGTAAGAAGGAATGGGTAGTGAATTTTGGCTTGCCAAGTTTGGGGATTGTGAAATGTGCTTCTGTGGTTAACTGAGATTATGATTTTTGGAAAGTTTTCTTTCATCTCTTGTAGTTGCTCAGTTCATGTCCATTTTGCTCCAGAACCAAGTTTGGGGTGGCCTTTACTAATGGTTTTGTTTAATTTCTTGGCATAAACATGGGCAGGTATGAAATTAGGTGGAATTTACTTCATGGGACGCCATATTTTTCTGGTTTTCCGGCATTTGCTTTTGATTCTTGTTAGTTTTCTTTCTGTCCTTTTCCTGATTTGTTTAGGTTACAGATGAATGACATTCTATTGTTAATTTGGTGTTTCCTTCACATTTTCTGTTTAAAATTTGATTAAATTGTTAGTTTTCAAATGTTAATGTTTCTATTTTAAGACACATCTGATGTTTGTAAAGTTTCAAAGAATACATCAACAAAATTCTTAAATGGATGGAGCTTTCCTATTTGAGAACTAATTCAAGTAGCACTGTTCAATCGGATCGATCCGATCCGATCCGAAAATTCGGATATCCGAAAATTTCGGATCACGTAAAACTCATTCCATATCCGATCCGAAAATATTCGGATATCCGATTTTTCGGATCGGATCACTGGATTATCCGAAAAGTTGAGTTTTTAGCCAAAATTTACAAAAAAAAGGTAAAATAGCAAAATCAACCCAAAATATCAAATTCAATATAGATTTACTAAAAGAAAAAATTCCACCACTAGGTAATGGCCTAATAAAAAAATGATACCAAATTTAATTTGGGAGTAACTTTGGTAATTTTTCCTAAACAAACAAAAAAAACACTATTAAAACAAAAGATTCTAAAATGCTAATGTAAAAAGTCCAAAATGGTTGAGTTCCAAAATCAACATAAAATTACATTTAAACATATAGTCATAATATATATCCATAAAATTCCAAAAACATATAGCAAAAAAAAATCGGATATCCGATTATCCGAAAAATTCCAGAAATTGAATCCATATCCGATCCGATTTTTTTCGGGTATCCGATCCGAAATATCCGAAAGCTAAAATATCGGATCGGATATCCATTTTTCGGATCGGATCGGCCCGGATCGTGGACGGATATTTCGGATCGGATATTTTTGAACACCCCTAAATTCAAGTGGTTTAAGGATCTTTTGGAAAAAATTAAATAAAAATGTTCAACTATATTAATAAATTTTTTAATAGAGTTCTGTTTAAGTTTTGGCTTCATTTTCTTAAGAAGAACATACTCTGTACTTCACAATGATATCGTTATTAACAAATTTATTTCATGTTAACATACTTCTGTTTAAGTTGAAGCTTACAATTCTCTAAAGTAGTACATGCTATAAACCAAATTTTTTACAGAAATCTGCTTAAATTTTGACTTCCCATTCTCTAAAGTATAACTACTTTAAATTATATTGTTATTGAACATATTTGTTTCATTTGTAGAAGCAGGTGTTTATGGATTTTCTTCAAAGGAGCCTAACTTTGGATAACATGGCAAATCAGTCTCAGTCACATTGAGAAATCGCGCAGCGATCATAATTGATTCAGGTATTATTTCCTTTTTCCTTATTTCTATTTTTTTGACTTAACAGTTTGTGTGGGGTGTGTAGTGAATTGCATTTTAGTATGATGTGGGTATAGGATCATAAATAACAAAGTCATACCTTTTTCGTGTGGGTAAAGATTATGAAATCTGGTTTGATGACATGGTATGTTCTCACACTTAAGTTCATGGTGGTATGCATTTAAAAAGCAAGTTCGCCTTATTGAGTGTTATAAATTAATTATGTTTTTTTGCCTTGTTTTATTCCCTGGAATATAAAAATGAGGTCACGGGAAAACAATTTCGTTTATTATTCTTTCAATGCACAGGTACAAGAGTTAAGAGAACATGTTTTTTTGTATTTGCTTTAGTGCTTTTGAGTTATAATATGCATTGTTCTTTTCATATTAATTAATTGATTAAAAATATATATCCCCCAAGTTTTGAATACTTAGAGTGTCAAACCCAACCAAGCCTTACCTGTTATGGTATGGTTTATACAAAATCATGTACTCCTGTTCTATTGTTTGTTCATTTTAACTTTTTGATAAGTCCTAATTCTTTTGTCACATGCCATATTTGGTCGAATTTGTAGGGTTTACTATTATTCATAATATATTGTTGTAAATATATGATAATTATTTAAAATTCAAAAGAAAATATCAGAATAGCTTATATATAATTATAAATACATGTTGATATATTTACCATTTTTAATGCAAAATCCAATTGCTAGCACAAATTTAAGTAATTTAAATATAATTGCTCTTAACTTGTTAGGTTGACTAGTCCTAAGTAATCTGAACCCAATGGAACCAAATCCGAACATTAACTTGACCTTTGTGTTTGGTTTGATCATCTTTTGGTGACAAAATGTGATCTTTCAGTAGTAAGGTATAGAATTACTCTCCTTGTGTTACTTATTGAGAATCAAATGTTGTGACTATGCTTTGTTTAGAATTCACAGAGGATGTTGTTCACTTTTAAATGAGTTAGTAGGCCTTTATATGTCTAATGTTAATAAATGGCACAACTGGGCATACTGTAATTGTTAGGAATCAGAGATTAGAGGCGATCAAGCGGAAGCGAACAAACACACACACACACAAATAACAGAAAATAAGAACACAAGATTTAACGTGGTTCGGTCAGTAACCTACTCCACAGGTTGGAACTAGGGTTTATCTTTTATTAGGTGCTCACAGATTATAGTTACATGATTGGGTATTTATAAGATATAAACTAGGGTTAACAACTTGCTAAACAAGAAACAACTAATGGGCCCTTTAATTAATAACCGAAACCGGCCCCCCATGTTTCTTCCCTTTAACCGACCGGGCTTAAAGCCCAAAGCTCTAAAGCCTTCACTGAATAACCCAACAATCTCCCACTTGAAGGATTTCGCATAGACACAAATGCCATCCAAGTAAACCCATCATGAGTAACTCAGTAATCTTCACTGTCAAGTCCTCCAAGCCTCCAGTTCCCAAGAACAAGCTAAGACTCCAGTTATATCCCCTACTTGCAACCACCCCCTTCATTAATAACCTGAAAGGACAGTTGAAGCTCCACCGAGCTCCAACCCAGTCGTGACTGTATCCGCCACAGCCTCTGTCTCAACCGGCTTGCACAATCCACCGGATCCAGAGATACACCGAGGACCATTACCACTCTCCAAATCCAGCAAACTATTCCCAAGAGAGATTTTAACGTTCGGATTCTTGGTCCTCAAAACCCAACGATGTTTCAAAACTGTACTCGGAACACGTCCCATGCTCCCACTGTCACGAAACCCCTGACCTGATTCAGACCTCCGAACACACTCAACTTTCATCCCCAAAACTCCAAGATTCACGTTTGCAAAATGAACCTTCTTAGTTTTGCCCGATTCAGTGAGCCGGACTTTGTTAACTGTCTTTACCGGGTTGGTCACTCCCTCAGACGTCACCGATTCAGTGAGCCGGACTTTGTTAACTGCAAAATGAACCTTCTTAGGTATTTCTTAGAGTGGCTAAAAGGAGATATTACACGATTGAAGAAAATTGGGGATTATAAAATATTCTCCTACTCCACAATAGATAAACTGACTAAAACGGTGCGTGCTTTTTCGCCCAAACTGTTCCGAATTGAAAATGGATCGCATTTTTGGAATCAGAATCTCAAAACTAAAATTTTGATATAATTAAAATATATTTCTAAAAACTTTTATTTTTCAGTGTTCGGGTATGACTCAGTCATTAATTAATATTTTAATTAATTATTTATTTTAGGCCTAATATTGGGGCGTTATAGGGTATAGGTGTTAGCTTTTCTTTAACCTCTATAGATTTTCCATTATTGGTTTTCAGTTGTATCACTCGTCGTCGGCAATAAATAATCGCTTGATGTTTAGTAAGTCAATCCATTCCAAGGATAACTTCGAACTCCTTATATGGTAATTCGTCAAGATTTGCAGAGAATTGTTGTCCTCACGACAATTAATGGACATTCTTGATACACATGATGTAACCTCATATTGTGTCCTAACAGGTTAGACACTAGTATAGGTTCTAAACTTTGTTTCATTATGTCAGCTTTGTTAGGCATAGGCACACAGATATAAGATAACGTCGATCTAGGGTCTATCAACACATGCATGACAATATCAAATAAGGAAAACATACCCTGATTGACCTCAGGGTTTTCCTCAGCGTGTGCCTTCATTGCATAGGTACATGAAGGAGCTCATCCTTGTTGATTCTGAATCTTAGCAGGATTAGATCCCGCTGTTGAATGTTGACTTGGCACAGGTCGTGCTGATGTGGATTGACTGACAACGGGGGCCATCGGAAATAGTTTTCTCGGGTTAGTGGGGCATTCCTTTCGGAAGTGTAGGCTTACCATAGCCAAAACACATACCTTGGGCAAGCTAGCACTTGCTTGGGTGGTGCTTTCCGCACATGTCGCACAGTGGGTGCTTCCATCCTCTCGATATATTATCCGATGCTACGGACTGAGTTTGTACTTACTTCCCCTTCTTCTAGAAGTGCGAGCCGCTAGGTCTTTGGAAAGGCCTTTTCCCATTTCGGGCAGAACTGGTAGGTCGATGAGTACTTGGGCCGACATTATTTATTTTTAAGTACTCATTGCAAGCACTCAGGTCTTTGTCTGCCTTGGCAATCAGATCATAGGCTGCCGAGAAATCCATGGTAGTCATGATGGACACTCGCGATGTTAAGTCAGGTCGAAGTTTATTTCTGAATTCCTCAATACGATCAGCTGGGGTGCTTACCAAAGTTGGCGTAAATTTGGCGAGATGGGTAAACTTCTGACGGTATTCAAGGAGCATCATACTCCCATATTGCAGTTCAACAAACTCTCTATGTTTCTCCTCGCAAAAACGTTTAGTTGAGAAGCCCACTCGAAATATGCCCAAGTCCATGGCTTTGGGGTTTCTGTACTTTCATCGGTTCTTTTCCACCATTCATAGGCTTCCTTGCGGAGTAGTTGAGAAGCCAGCCTTGGATAGTTACCAATAGGTACATTCAAATCTTCCAAGACTCGGGCAGTTTGCTCTATCTAATCCCATGTAATTTGTGGTTCAGCGATGCGATCCCTAAGTAATATTTCGACACTGTTATCCCTTAGCGTTTTATAAGTTACTACATGAGGCGGTGGTGGTCGAGGTGGTTGGAACACTAGAGCATTGGCTATTTGCTATAAGACATTAGCCAAAAAGATAGGGATCACAAGGTCACGTTGACCACCAGCGTTTGTATTGTTTTCTACGTTTTGCGGATTGACAGGCTCATTGTGGATGGGAGGAATAAAGCTAGACACTTCGGTATGAACATTTACGTGTTCGTTGTTGCCTTGACCATGGGCAGTTTCTTGACTCATTCTTCAAATAACAGAAATTCCTTTATTAGGATTCTTTATTTGAGTAGTTGAGTTTTATGACAGAAATCACAAATAATACAACATTTCATACGATCAAAGGATTTGGACAGAAACAACATGATTAATTCTAAGCGTTCATATTTGAATAGTTGGATTGTGTCGAGTCTACAGAGGGGTCTTCCAAACTGAATCCACAGATGCTGTTTGCAGAGTCTATACTGAACGTCTCTTCAGGATCGTCTCGTTCCCATGCTGCTTTGCAGTGTAGATAGATTTTTCGTTTCATTAATCTCGCGATACGATGAGCACGTTGATAACGTATCAGAGAGTCATGTACTTTTTGTTTGTTCTTTCGTCTCTTACTAAGTACAAAAGTTTGACTTGAGTCGACACTTGATATCATTTCAGAATTAACTATTATCATCTATGAAAATTTAATACAGTTAAATTCAATACTTTAAATTTTTGTTACCTTCCTAGAGCAGTGAGATGCGAGAGTCGTGGATGTGATTGAATTTTTTAAATCCAAAATGTATATATATATTATATATATTTTTAAATCAAATTTTGATCCGAAGATCGATTCTAAAACAATTTGCTCCAATACCAAATTGTAACACCCTAATCCGTCAAGGTCTACAGCCCCTTTCGGACTAAAGTATTAACTTGGTAATCGTAAAATTTAAAACATTTAAAACACCTTTATTCATCATAAATAATATTTAATACATAATTGTAGAAATACGAAGTGTTTAATAATGCGGAAGCGAATTTAAATCATGTCACATAACTGAAAGGTAACCATGCAAGGATAGGTAGCGGAATATAAAAATTTTAACATCCTAACATGATTATCTTGCCCAGAATCACGTACTAAAACATATAGTAGTAAGAAATTTATACCTTTTTTCCGTAAGCGGTTAAAACGAAAAAGTCGTAGGAAGAGCGTTGAAAGTGCAAACGTAACCGTTCAAGCGTCCGGTCTCCAACTTTGACACACGAACAACGCCAAAGTCTACCACAATCTTTATGCTAGTAAAGATTATAGTAGTATAAAATATAAAGATTAAAATTTGGGATAATAATAATCTTGTATATTTCTATAGAAAATATTTCTAATAATATTTAGAAAATATTATAAATATTTTCTATACACAAAATGATATTAATGGAACCAAACTAATATTTCTTTCTCTAGAAAAATATGGCCGAATGACACACTAATGAAAATGATAATCTTCACCCCCTTTTTATTTCAAAGTGCCGTGTAACCTTTTAAAAAGAAAACAAAAGATTCAAAGTGATTAATCAAACTATTTTGTCATTAGCTAAATGACAAAATTAACTAGCCACTTAATTAGCAATCAAGGAAAGTTTGATTCTCAAAATCCTTATGATGGCCGAAAATTTTCTTT